TATGCTTTAAGAGGGGTGGACTTCAACTCCCAGAATTCCCCAGTTGATATGCTTTAAGAGGGGTGGACTTCAACTCCCAGAATTCCCCAGTTGATGTGCTTTAAGAGGGGTGGACTTTGACCCCCAGAATTCCCCAGCCAGCATGCTTTAAGAGGGGTGGACATCAACCCCCAGAATTCCCTAGGCAGTGTCCTTTTGAGATGAATAACAAAATAACAGAGCTGGAAAGGGACCTTGGAGGTCTTCTAGTCCAACCCTATACTATTATATTATTTCAGACAAATGGTTGTCCAATCTCTTCTTCAAAACTTCCACTGTTAGAGCACCCACAACTTCTGGTGGCAAGTCACTCCACTGATTAATTGTTCTAATTGTTGCTGGTTGACTTCAAGTCCCAGAATTCCCCAGCCACCATGCATGGACTTCAACTCCCAGAATTCCCCAGCAATCATGCTTTAAGATAGGAAGACTTCAATTCCCAGAAGTCCCCAGCCGGCATGCATGGAGTCGAAGTCCAGACATCTTAAAGTTACGGGGTCTGAGAAACACTGCTTTTACATGTTCACGTCCAACATAAAAACACGCTACTTCTGAATATCTCCTTCATTGTTTTTCTTTCCCCCAAAAAATGTTGTTTGCGGAAAAACGCTTTGGATTTCAGCCCGTTGGGAGGGTGCCAAAGGCCCTTCTCAACAAGCCTGCACTATCCAGTGTGAAGTTGGAACACAACGCAGCGTTTGCAGCCTAGACAACAAGATCACGATCCTCTTGATGGGGAAATAGGACACCACTTGAGTGTTCAGACCTCACACCACAACTTTGTCCTTCAAAGTTTGCTTTGGAGACAAGAGCAAAACACTTGTGTTGTTGTGATTTCCTTTCTTTTTTTCCCCCCTCACAAAAGTGTTGCGAGGGGGAAAACTATCCTCAAAAGGGCAGATATAGGCAGTACTCGACTTATAACCACAATGGAACCCAACACTTCTGCTTACAGTGGTGATGTGAGTTTTGTCTCCATCTTACGACCTTTCCGGCCACCGTGGTTGAGCGAACAGCCGCTGTTGTTAAGTTTGGTGGCACGGTTCTTAAGTGAATCCGGCTTCCCCGTTGGCTTTACTAGTCAGAAGGTGGCCAAAGGGGACGGGGTGACCGTCATAAGTACGAATCAGTTGCCAAGCGCTTAAATTTTGATTCTGACGCAGCAACAGTCAGAAGTGTGAAAACCGATTGGAAGTCCGTTTTGTTCAGTGCCGTTGTAACTTCAAACGGTCGTTAAGTGAAAGGTTGTAAGTTGGGGACTACCTGTAATG